CATAAAATAATCCGAGTACTCGCAAATCCTAGAATCTCAAAGAGATTTAGCTACTAAACATATTCTCAATACTCAAAATAAATAAATCCATGAGTTCAATGAAGAAGAAAGAGAGAAAAGAAAGAAGAACTATTGTTTCCGTTAGTTCCCGGATCTTCAATCTTGACTTCCTCGAATCCCTCGTGTGTTTCGTGCTTTCCCTAGGCCTCCAATGGTGTCCAAAGTCCCAGAACCGTGTTCCTTATGTTCCTTATATACTGTAGGGTAAATATGGCTTAAAAAAGGGACAAAATCGCGTAGGTTTCCTAATTCCCGCTGGACTGTCTGCGCGTCACACGAGTCGTGTCACAAGCCACACGAGTCGTGTGACTTTTCTTCAAATTTCTGCCCCGCTCCCAGACTCACACGAGTACACCACACGAGTCCTCACACGAGTCGTGTGAGCCCACACGACTCGTGTCATGTGCCACCCGACTTGTGTGGGAAGGCCGTACCAAATTGACACAAAAGCTCGATTCTTCTCACCCCACACGACTCGTGTCACATACCACACGAGTCGTGTGACCCTGACTGCACCCTATTTTTGCCGTTTTTCGTCCCGATTCCATCTTTAACGCTTTTTCGGGCATATTTCCTGCAAAACCAACGACAACTATACCTCCATCATAGATTAATAAATCAAACGAAATGGTGCGCAATCCCACAATAAAGACGGTCAAACATCACACTATATCACTCATAATGCATGAAAATAATGATGAACATCAGGGACACCGTTTGGCTTCTCGAACGGGTCCCCACAGACGGCGCCAAAATGATGGGACAAAGATGTCATCCAGAATCCCTCGACTCGGACGGCCACCGTACCTGCAAGAACCCAAAGCCCGAGACCCCAGGAGGGGTGCCCGGCTTTGGGCCTCCGATGCTTAATTCAGTACTGGATTCATATGAGAATGCATAGAGAGAGAGTAAGGAGAGAGTGTAGAGAGAGTAGTAATTGAATGAGGAGATAATGATGAAATGAGTAAGTTCTCCCCCTTTTTATAGGGGGAGTGTACCTTATAGTCCACGTTGGGCCTGGCCTAGGTTGGGCTCGGCTCATATTATTATATCAAGTATCTTAGCCCATGTATGGGCGTATTCTTCAATATATATCCATAAAAACCGGTCGGGTACGACATGCTATATCAGATACTACCGGTCGAGCCGACAGTACTAGCCGTGGCTATATCACTACCAAAAATAAAAAATCAAGTGGACCCCACTCCATGTTAGTGTTATGTACACCTTTATGTACATTTATTATGTACATGTAGCATTTTCATATATTTTATGTATCTTCTATGTATATGTATGTCCCGATTTGCGCTAGTGAGAATTAAGAGAAACCCGAGTGTATATTTTATGTATATATATGTCCCGATTTGTCGCTGGCTTAAATTACGAGAAACTCTAGTATACGTTTCATGTATCTTTTATGTATTTGTGCAAAGATTCTGAGTGTAATTTCTTCTTCTTCTGTTAGGGACGAGCAATAATACACAGACGAATATGGCGATTAGTGTTTTTATCTTAACTCTATTGTTGTTTACTTTAGCATTCTAAAAGGTTAACATCGAAATAAAGATCCATATACATTTCTAAATTTAAATGTAATTAAAAGATTGATTTGGCTACTGATAAAATTCTTATCCTGAAAAATCTGTCCAGTCGCCATAAAAAAACTAACTTACCAATATTAAAAAAATATGACTTCCTTAAATGTAGGATTGATAGTCAAATTCGTAATATATGTTGTCAGTATGTTTGCAAATAAATATTAACCTTCGTTAATTTACAATTAATAGGATATGGACTCGTGCCCCAAGTAAATTTTCTCAACGAAACACCACACATTGAAATTGTAATATATGTGGTCAATCATTGTATGTTGGCAAATAAATATTAACCTTCGTTAATTTACAATATTAACAATTAATAGGATACGGACTCGTGCCCCAAGTAAAATTTCTCAACAAAACTCCACACATTGAAATTGCTATCATAATTGTATCGGTTTTTGGATGAAATTCGGCTCTATTTAATTGTGAGAATCCAAGTATTTGCAAATAAATAAAAGAAAGCATTATACGAACCTCATATACAACATTTTCTAGCCTTCTGCTTTCATTTTTTTCTTTTTTGTTTTCTCATGTTTGTGTTTGCCTGTGGAATGTTGGGTACTTGGGTTGTTGGGGATCCGAGCTGAATGAGGCTATGAGAGAAACCTGCTTTTAAGTACTTAATACTGTTGCCTGTGGAATGTTGGGTACTTGGGTTGTTGGGGATCCAAGCTAAATGAAGCAATGAGAGAAACCTGCTTCAAGTACTTAATACTAATCCTAGGTCGGTGGATCAGTCCCTGTAACCGGCTCGATGGTATTCTTCATACAAGGTAAAACCATATGGTGCCAGACAGAACGACCTAGGTGCATAGCAAGCGGAATAATCAAATAAGTGTCACTTGCACCTAAATGATGACAAATAGGACAGCATCGCCTTATCCCTACAGGCGTATCAACCTTAGTAGCCTAAAGCCTAACGTCGCAATAAATGAGCCCTATACTAATTTAATGCTTGATAACGACCCGGTGAACGGTAATCAAGGGTCCCTAGTGTATGAGAAATCCTATAAAAGGTTGTTGGAATTCCGGCAACAACAGTTATTCTTGCATTTAATACCATATTTAATAGCATCCTAGCTGAAAGTTAACTTTGACCGACCTATCCATTATTCACTTCTACGTGTGCATCTCATTTTCACCTTGCTTCCGTCCGTTTTCTTCACAACAATATCCAATTTCACATAATCCAATTGCATTAAACACACATAAAATACATTTAACTCAAATCCGTTTGACAACAGTTCTCATCTGAAGTAGTAAATAACTATCATGCTCCAAAACAAATAGAAACACACACATACACACAGAGACGGCCAAGATTCCCACTTTCCACTTTTGAGAAACCGATGGCAATAACATAATGAAAATGAAGTTGAAATGAATGAATCAAAATTTCATAACTACTCTTGAATATTAAGCAGTAGCCTGTATCTAAGTCGCACATATTTTAGAAAACAGAAAAATCTAATAGTCGATATTACATACTAGATAGTTTGTGTCTCTCACTTCCGGAACTTCCTCTTACAAGACCTATGATTCAAAAGACGCTTGAACGGAAACAAGAGAGGTCGGTGACGAGAATTTCGTTTCCTTCTCCTTCCTACAAGATATGACAAGTACGAACGTTAGTCAAAATGGTGTCTTAAAGAATTATATGTTACTAAAACTGTACTGGAACAGATGATACAAACATAGCTCCTTAGTATGGCAGGCATTATTGGCATGCTAGAGTAATAAGCAAAACAATTTTGTCAAATCCTTAGTATGGCAGGCATTATTGGCATGCTAGAGTAATAAGCAAAACAATTTTATTTTTGACGCAGAAAGTGAAAAAGAAGTTTAAAGCGTTTTCAAGGTAGAACTAATAATAGACAGAACAGAACAAATACCTGCTTGACATTTAATAAGGCCTCGATAATAATTAGTGACAGAATCCAATTGCGTCCTCTCTTCCACCACAAGATTGTGTATTGGATCATTAACATTTGCTTCTAAATTTATGTGTCCCTCAGTGGGAAAGCCATCAGATAACTCAACTGTAAAATGATTATTTTCAGAATTTTTTCCTCCTTCCAGATAGTTACCTTGAGCAGGAACATCAGAGGATAGCACTTCTATATTTAAACGGCCAACCTCAGTAGCGCCTAAGTCAGCAGGAACCACTTCCCCTTCACATAAACCCACACCACAACAATTTTCAACATTAGACTCTTCCAATATCAAGTCAGGAAACTTATTTACATCCAAAGAACTCGAAATTTCATCCAAAATACTACCATCTGTAACAATTTTTTGAGCAATTACAGTATCTTCTCCTCCATCATGTAAACTGTTTCTCGCAAACAGCGCAGATGGCGAATGGATTTCAGACGAAACAAGGTTTGTTTTCAAGTCATTTAAATACGTCACGTTTTCGCTTGGAATTGGTATAGTTTCTAAAGGATTAGAACAAGCACCATTACGAGTTGGTAGAGCTGGAACTACAAAACCTTCAGTACCAAAAGCCTCATATCCAAAAGACGTTTGACCCTCTTCACGAAGAGCCCGAATACCAGTAGGCACTTCAGGAAAATAACCTTTAAAAGTTTTCAAACTTTGACAGCCAGTGGGCAGATTTATATCTGTGGCATCAGATGACGAAATTTTGCCTTCAGCTACTTGCTCTTTACTCGAATAAGTAACAGTGGCTTGATTCTCAGGCGGGCTGCCTTGCTCTTCATGCAAAGAATTAATGCCACCCAGGTCTTCTGGTTTTTCCACAGAAGCAAATTTCTCAATTTCCATTGTAGTAGGCTCAGAATCTAAAGTTGGCTTAGTCACAGATAACAAATCTTTGATCTGCAAACCATGAGCCGGCAGTCCATTCATACTACAAGTGAAGTTGATGGCTTTCACAGGTTCCATTTGGGTGCAGGAGATGGCAAAACACTTTTCCATTTCATCCAATATCATATCTCCCTCGCCACTAGAAATAGGGTCCCACTTAAGCCAGTCACTGAACATGGATGGTTGCTGTCCACCTAAGGGTACTTGTTCGACCTTCACAGCCTCCTTGTAAAAATGTTTTTTCCTCAATGCATTTTCTAGGAGTGATCTGACCATGAAAGCAGATCGATTGTGGAAAGTTAATATACTAGAAATACCAAGACAAATTAAAAGAAAATCATGCAACGAGTTTAGCAAATCTACCTGCAATTTTTGGAAATAGCTGCTTTGGCATGTTCCCTGTTGAGCCCGAGCACAGATAACAAATTTGCAACATCTTGAGGCCCTCTAAATTCGGTTACAGAAGGGGCAGCACTAGAGATTATCAGATTCTTTCCCCGTGTCCAATCTACAAGTAGCTGGGCTTAAACAGTTATAACAGATATAAAAATTAAATGTGAACTTAGCACTATGCAAACAGACAGAACCATTTCCCAATTCTACTAGACTAATAAGCATATTATCTTAGAAAATAAATATAAGTTGTAAGCATATTAAGTGAGACTAATAAGCATATTATGTAATAACCCGTATGTTATTAATGTAAATTACGTGTTTAGTTCCGAAATATTTATGTTATCAATCAGAATCGTTCGGAACTAATTATTCAAGTCAAGAATGTTCGAATTAATTTTCGAATTCATGTCTATGCTCGAGATAATTTCTAAGTATTTAATTTCATATATTATAAGTTAATCCATGTCTAATCGCTCGACAAATATTTTACCGAGCTTAATCATGTTTAAGTATGAGCTAATTGCCGTGTATTATCAAGGAATAGTGTCAATAGTGCTTAGCTTAAGCCTAAACAAGGGTCATGCACGCCCAACACACCCCATTAGCGCGGCAATGCTTAGCTTAGTTCAAGCAAGATTAATTAGGGCATGACCACGCTTAGCCCAAGTAATTGCCGAGAGTTACTCTTCCCCACTCTTCAGGTGAGGTTTCATCATTTCTTAGTACACATGGAAGATTATGGTTCACTAGGAGTATGACTAAGCCAAGTACTTGGTGACTAAGCACACAAGAGGCCACCTTATGCCCCTATCGCACGGCAAGTGGCGCTCGGCCATTGGCCGAGACTTTCACCTCAATTTTCACCATCGTTTAACCTTCTATAAAATCTGAAGTTGGGGTGAAAATATGGATTACGCATAAGCTAAACACTAAGCAAAAGTTAAGCTAGATTAAGTTTTCTTTACACGCACGCACGCGCGAGCTTTTGTTCGGACGAGTAATCACGCGAGACCTTGCATAATTGATCGAGAGTTTGAGGAGGTAACATCGTCTTCACCAGCTTTCCACGTTAATATGATCATTTTAGATTTGATTTACCATGTTCAGTTCATGTCCTTTAATTCATGAAAAGTCAAGTTATGCTTGGTTTGTGCCATATTAAGCCATGACCGAGTCATGTCCATTTTTATTTGGCAACTCTCGAGCGTTTTATGTTCCAGTAGCCATTGTTGGGTGTATTATGTTCAGTTAAATGATAGTTGTCGAGACAAGTTGTTGTTTGGTCGAGGAATTGGCCTAAAGCCGTAGGCTACGCATGTAGCGCACGCCACGGCTCATCCTAGTTCATTGTGTAAAGTTCATAATTTTCGAGCAAATTGAACATATTTGATCATGTTATGTTAAATCATGTTGAGTTATGTTGAAGTTGTCGGAGAAGTCGCCGGACGGCCGGTAAGGATCGGCCGTGGTCGCCATACCCGCACGCAGCAGGTAGTGTGCGCCGGCAGTCAGAGCACGTTTCTGCGTCTCTGAAAATTTTTACAAGTCAGAAATTTTTTCAAAAACCTGAACACGTCATGCTCACGCCTTACCGACTACAGGTTAGTGTTGATTCATGTTTTTAAATTATAAACAAATTACTATGTCTATGCTCAGAAAACTACAGTTATGACTTAGTTAAGATGCTCGAATCATGTTCAGGATCCATAATCCAGTATATCCATGATTTAATGCCAGTTTTCCCATGAATAATGTCAGTATTTCCGAGATCATGTTAAGCAACTCGTCAAGAGATTTGTGCTCTTTATTGATCAGCTAAAGTATTTTCCTTGTGTTTTCCTTGTGTCTGATAATGTTGAACCTTTCCAATATTCAGATGCCGCCACGTAGGGAGCCCGATCGTCCAGTTGTCCCCCAGGCCACAGTAGTCGCACAGTTTCGCGACTACCACCCCGAGAAATTCTCCGACCAGGGAGATCCTCGGTCGTGGACGAATAGGTTCAGGGCCTTGAAATGATTTTCGAGGTCATGGACTGTCCAGATCGTTATCGCGTTTTATGCGCACAGCTTCAGTTGACGGGGATGCACGACTCTGGTGGAACGCTTACTGGAGTATGCGTCCCGGCGAAAAGGAAGGTTGTATCTGGAACAGGTTCAAAGAGTTGATTCGTGAGAAGTACTATCCCACGTACTACCGAGCAGAGATGAAGCGTCAGTTCCTGGCGCTCAAACAGGGTACTCATTCTGTTGATGAGTACGAGAGAGAATTCACTCGACTCGGAGCCTTTGTTCCCGACCTGGTGAGTACAGAGGCAAAGAGGGCACAGCGTTTCACTGACGGGCTTTACCCAGCAGTCCGTCACAACATTGTGGGTCACGGAGTTCAGACCTACGCTCGTACCGTTTCTATCGCCCAGGAGGTTGACGCCAGCATTCGGAGGGAGGCTAAACATGATTGTCTTCATCCATTTGTCCCTGCCCAGTCATCCTCAGCTCCTTCCACCAGCTGCTACCCAACAACCGAAGGACAAGAAGAGGAAGGGGAAAGGCGCCCAGACTGACAGGAGGACCCGTCCGAGGCCACAGCAGGTTCCACCGTGCCCCACTTGTGGACGACTCCATCGCGGAGAGTGTCGCGTTGGCCAGGATATTTGCTATTATTGTCACGAGCCCGAACATTTTGCTAACCGCTGTCCGAAGAAACTCCAGCAGCCACCACAGTAGCCCCAGCAGCCACAGCAGCAGCAGCCCAGACAACAGGCTCAGAGGCCACCCCAGCAACAGCAGAGGGGCAGACAGCAGGCTCGAGTTTATGCGGTCGATCAGGCCGAGGCGGAACAACACCGAGGTACCATGTCTGGGATGCTTATGCTTAACGATGTTCCTGTTTTCGTCTTATTTGATACTGGAGCAACTCACTCTTTTATATCACGACGATGTCTTGATGCTATCGGAGTACATGCCATTACCGTTGTCGATCCTCTCGAGGTGAGTTTAGCCTCGGGACGAAAGATAGTGACTACTGCTAAAGCTACAGATCTCAGCCTTTCTATCGGTGGTCGTATATTGTCTACCGACGCTTATGTTCTCGAGATGAGGGATTTTGCCTCATTCTCGGCATGGATTGGCTAACATATTTTCATGCAAATATTCGATGTCATGACCAAGAGATTACTCTTTATCTTCCGGGAGACGATCATATTACTTTCTTTAGCACCAAGACTCGTTCTTTGCCTCATGTTATTTCTATGGCGAAAGCCATAAAAGATGTTACGACGAGGTGACTGTCATGGTTATCTTGTAAGCCTTGTCGATGATTCACCAAAGGCACGAACACCTCACGACGTTCCTGTTGTTCGTGAGTTTGTGGACGTGTTTCCGGACCAACTTCCAGGAGGACCACCTAACCGACAGGTAGAGTTCTCTATTGACCGTATTCCAGGAGCCGGCCCAGTTTCCAAAGCAACTTATCGAATGGCGCCGAAAGAATTGCAAGAGCTCAAGGCGCAAATTCAGGAATTGTTGAAACTCGGTTTTATTCGGCCGAGTGTGTCACCATGGGGAGCACCCGTTCTTTTCGTTAAAAAGGACGGCTCTATGCGCATGTGTATCGATTACCGGGATCTTAACCGGTTGACGATCAAGAATAAATATCCGCTTCCCAGGATTGATGATTTATTTGACCAGCTGAGGGGAACTTGTGTATTCTCCAAGATTGATTTACGATCAAGCTACAATCAGCTGAAAATCAAAGAGTCGGACATTCCAAAGACCTCTTTTTGTACTCGGTACGGTCATTATGAGTTCGTAGACATGCCATTTGGCCTCAGCAACGCTCCAGCAGTATTTATGGACCTGATGAATCGTATCTTCCATCCTTACCTTGATCAGTTTGTTATTGTTTTCATTGATGATATTCTTATCTACTCCAAGAGCCAGAAGGAACACGAGGAGCATCTGAGGGTTGTCCTTGAAACCCTTAGACGAGAAAAGTTATATGCTAAATTCTCCAAATGCGAATTCTAGCTCCAGCGAGTAGCCTTTCTTGGCCATGTTATCACTCAGGCAGGTATCGAGGTTGATCCATCCAAGGTTGCCGCTGTTCAGAACTGGTCGACACCGAAGAGTCCGTCCGAGGTTCGTAGTTTTCTCGGTTTGGCTGCCTATTACCGCAGGTTCATTGAGGGTTTTTCCAAGATTGCCCTTTCGTTATCCCAGCTGACGAAGAAGTCTGTGAAGTTCGAGTGGACTGATCGATGTGAATCGAGCTTTCAGGAGCTCAAGAAGAGGCTAACCACAGAACCGGTGTTAACTATTCCCGATCCTTCTCGGAGTTTCACCATTTCAGTGATGCTTCAAGACAGGGTTTGGGATGCGTACTCATGCAGGATGGCCAGGTCATTGCTTATGCTTCACGCCAATTAAAGCCCCATGAACAGAACTATCCACGCACGACTTGAAGCGAGCCGCAGTTGTTCATGCCCTCAAGATTTGGCAACATTATTTATACGGCGGTCGATGCGAAATTTTCACAGATCAGAAGAGCTTACAATATATATTCACTCAAAAGGAGCTCAACATGAGACAACGCCGTTGGTTAGAGCTCGTCAAGGATTATGATTGCACGATCCAGTACCATCCGAAGAAAGCGAATGTGGTTGCTGATGCCCTAAGCCGCAAGGTGAAGGGTGACTTGACGTATGTTGTTACTCAGCAGAGCCGTCTTATCCAGGAGTTCGCCCGGATGCAGATTCAGGTTGTTGATGCACTTCCTACGGCCATTACGGGGAGTGTCAGTTCTATGCAGGCTTCTGATGAATTTGTTAGTGCCATTGATGCTAAAGTCCGCGCCGGAGGTGTCGAGGGTTTTCACCGAGGCACTGATGGGGCCTTGGAATTTCGAGGAAGGAGATATTGACTGAGGCTCATACTGCACCTTATTTGGCTCATCCAGGGAGCACGAAGATGTATCATGACATAAAAAGGTCGTTCTGGTGGCGAGGGATGAAGGACGTAGCCGACTTTGTGAGGAAATGTTTAACCTGTCAGCAAGTCAAAGCAGAGCATAAGAGTTCCTTGGACCTCCTGCAACCACTGCCGATTCCGAAGTGGAAGTGGGAGGAAGTTACGATGGATTTTGTCACGGGGTTACCGAGGTCGTCTGAACATCACGATGCTATATGGGTCGTGGTGGACAGGTTGCAATGTTTTCCTAGACGATAAACGGTACACGGGCGGTGACCCTCTGTTTAGCGTTTAGAGTGTGTAAACGTCGTTTAGACGGCGTCTAGACGGATTAAACGGTTTTGTTACTGTAGCAAGGTTTCAACTGTTTTGTACGTATATAGATGTAAATTTTACATGTAAGAATGAATAT